GCCTCCACAGCTAGGATAAATCGATGCAGCAGCGCAGATTTATCCCAGCTGGGTCCACGCTAGTGCTCAGCGAGGAAGTCCTTGCCGCAGTGCAAGGACATGCTGCCTTCGCAGCCCTGCTGCACCCCAACCTTAGCAGCACCTCAGCTTATCTCCAGAGCTTTTGCTTCAGAGAAGGAGATTGGATCGGGAGCGTGTCCTCCACAGTTCGCTGTGCGGGAGGTTTTGTATGCTTGGTTTGGATGTGTTTGCTGGGGAAGTGAATCTGAACTGATGGAAGTAAAATGTGTTTAAAAAAAACCTGCCTTAAAATGAGGTCCAACTCCTACCGTAGTCCCTGCAAAAGCTTTTCTGCTCCGGCAGCTCTGCTCTCTCCCCTGTGCTGCATTTCTGGACACATCTGCAGCGGATCATGGTTTCCACCAGCTCTGCTCTCCAGTATCACTAGCAGGGAAAGCAAAACCAGGTTGTGAACAGCCACCCAAGCGTCAACATGGCAAAAAAAGGGCTGGTGAGCCAGAGTGAGTAAAACTGGAAGGCCGAGAGACCTTAGTGAGGACATCCAGGCAGTCCAGGGCTTAATGCAGCGGCCCCCAGTAGGGCAATCTACTCTCAGGATCTCATTCTGTGCTTTAACTGGGATGGCTCCTTAGGGCAGATTTTGGGCAGAGCCTGGCTAGCTACCTGTAAAGATTTGTGTTTTCATCTGCAACACAGCCCTGCACTGCCTGTCTCCACTGAAGCTCAGGTTGTGTCGAAAGGAGGTGGAGAGACCCTGCTCCCAACACCCTGAGCTGCAGCTCCTGGAGCGCACAGGAGCAGTCTCCCTGCTAAATCCAATTCCCGTTTTCACTGTACACCAACAAAAGGGCCACCTGATGGTGGTGGGTGACAGCATGGGTTTCTCCACCTTTTCCTGCCTCCTGGCTCTCCAGTAAAGCTCCCGTCCTTGACAGGACGCTTCACAGCCTAAAACCAGTATCTTAACGCACACGACACCCCCATCCCTGCCAGGGTCCTTCCTTTTCAGCCCATCCGCTTCGTTGTGGCATTTGCTGCCTTAACACAAACCCTCTCCCATTTCACCACCCGGAGAGCTGCTCTCCAAACTTGTGCAGAGCCCCCAGAGCCTGGGACTCAAAGAGAGGGGCAGTAAGCTTGCACGGCACAGCCTCCTGCCCCTCCAGGAACAGACGGGACCCGCCCCAGCGTTAGGCTCAGGCGAGGGAGCATCATCGGGTCATTTCCGAGGGCACAAACCACGCCGGGCGGCCAGGCATCCGTGGGACCAGAGGTTTGCAAGGGCACGCTCTACCCTGCCCAGGGAACGTTTGAGCCAAACACCCCTGGAAAGAGCCTGCTGGTTTTCAGCCAAGGCGCTTCTGGTCCCCTCCTCACCCACAAAGGGTTGTCCATGTCCATGTCCAAGTTCACCTTCCTCCACTCCAGAGGCCACGAACATCTGGATGCCACGAAACACGCTGGATCAAGAGTGTCACCTAGTGGCAACAGAGCTGATAAAGGTTGCATGATCCCGCAGAGACCCCACGCACTTCCCACACAAGTGGGACCCGACAGCCCTTAAACCTCCAGGCTGCAGCAACACGGGCCCTTGAATGCAACCATGCCTGGGCGACAGCTGATGTGCAGACTCTCCGTGTCCACATGCAGCCCATATGCTGAGGATCTGGGGTCGGTTTTCCTTGTAGAGGCTCTCCCTCCTCCTCCCAAATTGAATGCAGCAGAAAGCTAAAGGGAACCACCGCTCTCCCATGCCCTGTACCCTCCTGCGCTGCTGTCCCGTCTGGTGTCCTGGTGTAAACGGCCTCTCTCTCGTCAGCACTGAGGAGCCTACTGCCAAAAACCAGACGGGCATCAGAGCACTGAGAAATGGAAGTCAGAACTAATTTATTTAAGACAAAAAAAAAAAAAGACTCGTAAAAAGGAGGGGGAGGCATCGATTACAAGCTCTGGAAGCTCTTGTCAGGACAGCGCCAAAGAAACCAGCTTTATACAACAGAGAGAAAGGGGCAGCAGGAGGGGCCCGGGGCCGTCCCCCCACCCCGCGCCTCCCCAGCCCCGCATGAGCCAACCCCTGCGAAGGTACATCGGCATCCCGGCACTCGTCCCCCTTCTCCCTCCACCACGGTTAAAGTGCAGCAGGGAGAGCGGGGAGAGGGGCTGGGGAAACCCCGTGCCCATGGCACGATCCAGCTTCCTCGTCCCCAGGGAGCTCCGTGGTGGCCCTGAGGACCAGCAAGGAAAGGGTTCTCACCACCACGCTTCCCAGCAACCTCACGCACGCAGCCCCAGCGGCATATCTGGGGCAAAATACTC